TTCACCGAGGAGCTAGTTTTGATAACACTTGAAGTGTCATCGTCTCAGAGTTCGACACTCAGTGCAAACCATTATCAATCAAATGAGAGAAACAGTCCAGGAAACGAGGTCAGCAATGCCTCTGGTCTTCCAGCGGTGAGGCTTCAAGGGTTACAGATGAGGGGACCAGTGCATTGTCGTCCAAAGGATATATTTGGTGATGAATGGGGGCAGCCTTGCGTGGAAGAGCAATGTGGATATATTTGGTGCTGGTGTTGGCTTCAATGATGAAGGAGGAGGCGGTTCCGCGACGTACAAGCGAGTGGTGGCCTCTGTTGAGGAAGTGCCTGTGGAGAGCCTTCAACAACAGGAGATTGCTTTCAAGCTGATTGGGCACATATTGGATAAAGTCCAGATTGATCTTAAGCTTTTGTAACAAGTGAGGGCCATCGCAAAGGTGCAACTCCAATCAATGTTGGCTTTCCTAAAGGTAAAATTCATGGGTATCCACCCTTTTGGTTTCAAATTTTATTGATGTCTTGATGAAAAAACTATATAGATGTATGAAAAAGCTGGTTAAAATGTTTGGTTTTGTTGGCAGATAAGGAAGCGTGACTGGACGGAACAGGGGGGATTCATAAAAATAGGGTTTGGTCTTTCATAACCAATTGATCATCATTTAAGGTATATGACTTCTCTATAGCGAATTAATTCCTTACAATTTTTTGTTCCTTAAAATTTTCATACCATTTAACCGTTCTGTCACAAGGTTATATATTTTATATTGATTGTAGTACATTAAGACAGTGGAGGAGGGACTAACATTAAGACATTAGCCAACTAGTTCTGTTCCTGGGTGATTATGATGACTGCACCCTTGCTCTTGTCTTGGAGCAATGGAGGTTTGCCCCCCCCCCTCTCTCTCTCTCTTCTCTATCAGCTGTTGTATACATGGTTTAACATTGACTTATTGCTAGTGTTCTTGTAAACATAGTCTCCCCCCTCCCTTCTCCTCTTTTTTCTTTGCATAAGAATTAAAAATTCCAGTTCATCCTGGAGGACAACAATTCCATTATATTTTTTGTTGTGAAACATATTGATTCCAAGTTTATGGCTACCATTAAGTTGACTTCTGAAGCCTTCCAATTTGTTACTTTTATATTGTTCTTGATTTCTGTAACTCAGTTTGGGAGTGTTACTAGAAAGTAGAAATTTTAATGCTTAAGAGTTATAAAACCTTAAGTGTTTGGAGTTTTGGGTTAAGGTTTATGGTTACGGGGTTAGGGGTTAAGGGTTATGGGTTTAGGGGTTAGGGATTTGAGTTTATTGTTCTTTTGCTTCTTTTGCTCCATCCCCTCATCATTCTTCTCCTATTTTTTCCTTTATTTTGTTATGTTTTGGATTTTCATTTTCATGTGCGTAACGAATCTAATGTATGCTTTGATTTCATTTGTTAGTGGAATAGACGAGATAAGCTTGAAAGCGGAGTTTAGGAAGGAAAAGATAAGTATATCTATTTGTCCAAATTCAATTGGCTTTTTTTTACATGTAAATTGTGTTTTACACATGACTATTTCTACTTCTTTTTGTGTTTCTTGCTTGTTATAATCATTGTTTCTATTGTTTTCAATCATAAACACTCTCATTATCTCATTGTTTCCTTTTCTTTTTTTGTTGCTGTTTTCGTGTTTTACACAGCCTATAATTGCATAGCATTTTTTTGATTATATGTGTTTTATTTGCTTTTCTATCAGATTTATATTTTATTTCATTTTTTATTATCTTTCTATTGAAATTGTTAAATGTAGGAAACAAAATGTAACTACTTGGAGAGGGAGCAAATGGTTAAATCATGGAGGAAAATTAGGAGTTTGTAGCATGTAAAATATTGCAATAAAATATAGAATTCAAATAGGGTGTAGGGCTTTGGAGGCTTGGGGCTTATGGGCTATCAGACTTATGGTCTTTTGGGGTCTTGGGTTAATTGTTTGGGGTTAGGGATTAGGACTTAGGGAGTAAATATTAAGTATTAAGGATTAAGAATTAGGGCTTACGAATTAGAGATTTGGGATTAAGGCTTATGGCTTAGGGAGTAGGGAGTAGGGATTAGGGTTAAGGATTTGAGTTTATTGTTTTTTGCTTCTTTTGCTCCATCTCCTCATCGTTCTTATCCTATTTTTTTTCCTTTATTGTTGTTTGTTATCTTTTGAATTTTTATTTTTATGTGCGTAACTAATCTAATGTGTGTTTTGATTTTAGTTGTTAGTGGAATGGACGAGATAAGCTTGCAAAGCTGAGTTTAGGAGTAAAAAGATAAGTATATCTGTTTGTCCAAATTCGATTGGCTTTCTTTTACATGTAATATGTATTTTACACATGATTATTTCTGCTTCTTTTTGTAATTCTTACTTGTCATGATCATTGTTTCTATTATTTTCAATTTCCAACACTCTCTTTATCCCACTGTTTTCTTTTCATTTTTCGTTGTTGTTTTCGTGTTTTATACAACCTATAATTGCATTGCATTTCTTTGATTATATGTGTTTTGATTGTTTCTCTATTAGATTAATTATGTGTTATTTCTTTTTTTATTATCTTTATATTGAAATTGTTAAATGTAGGAAACATAATTTATTTACTTGGAGAGGGAGCAAATGGTTAAATCATGGGGGAAAATTAGGGGTGTGTAGCATGTGAAAGATACTAATAGAAAATAGAATTCAAATAGGTTTAAGGCTTGGGGCTTTGGAGGCTTGGGGCTTAGAGCTATCGAACTTATGGGCTTTTGGGATTTTGGGTTAATAGTTAAGGATTAGGGATTTGGACATAGGAATTAGGGATTAGAGATTAGGAAGTAGGATTAGGGATTAGGGCTTCAGGAGTAGGGAGGAGGGATTAGAGATTACGGATTAGGAATAACAGATTAAGGGTTAGGGGTTAGGTATTTGGATTTATTGTTCTTTTGCTTCTTTTGCTCTTCCTTCTCATCATTCTTATCTTAGTTTTTTCCTTTATTGTTATTTGTTATCTTTAGTATTAGGGATTGGGGATTAGGGCTTATGGAGTAGGGAGTAGGAGTAGGATTTGGGAGTAGGGAGTTGCGATTAGGGATTATTGTAACGCCCCAAAAATCCCCTGGGTGACATTACATTCTAAAAACCATTCACCCCATGAGAGCATTACGTAAATTCATCACGACGAAAGTTCATTCATCAACCATTCATATTTTAATAAAATTTGGACAGAGTCTCCTTTGTACGGGGAACTTTACCCAAAACACAACCTGTACAATTATATTACAATTGACCACACCGGGTCCACATATGCATAACTATTGACCACACCGGGACTATTTATCCATCATAAAATAAACTTTCATTCATCATATGTCATATCCACAATGCCATCCCAAAAGAATAGGCCAAGTATGACAAATATATTCCCAAAAGAATTAAATTACACTTGCAGTGAAATATAATTATTTGGGGAGGGAGCAAATGGTTAATTTATGGAAGAATATTAGGACTTTGTAGCATATAAAAGATACTATTAGAATATAGAATTCAAATAGGGTGAAGGGCTTAGGGTTTTGGAGGCTTGGGGCTTACGGGTACCAGACTTACGGGTTTTTGGGTTTTGGGTTTATAGTTAAGGTGTAGGGATTTGAGATTAGGGATTAGAGATTAGGGATTAGGGCTTAGGGTGTAGGAATAGGGATTACGGATCATGGATTAGGGGCTAGGGGTTAGGAATTTGAGTTTATTGTTCTTTTGCTCCACCTCCTCATCATTTTTGTCCTATTTTTTTCCATTATTGTTGTTTGTTATCTTTTGAATTTTCATTTTTATGTGCGTAATTAATCTAATGTGTGTTTTGATTTCAATTGTTAGTAGAATGGACGAGATAAGCTAATTAGGAGTTTGTAGCATGTAAAAGATACTAATGGAATATAGAATTCTAATAGGGGCTTTGGGCTTTGGAGGCTTGGGGCTTACGGGCTTTTGGGGTTTTGGATTCATAGTTAGGGATTAGGGATTAGAGCTTTTGGGAGTAGGGATTAGGAATTTGAGTTTATTGTTCTTTTGTTTCTTTTGCTCCACCTCCTTATCATTTTTATCCAATTTTTTTCCTTTATTGTTGTTGGTTATGTTTTGGATTTTCATTTTTATGTGCGTAAGTAATCTAATATGTGTGTTTTGATTTCAGTTGTTAGTAGAATGGACGAGATAAGCTTGCAAAGCGGAGTTTAAGAGTGAAAAGATAAGTATAACTATTGTCCAAATTCCATTGTAACATGCGATGAACCATCCTATTTGCTTATGGTTGTTTCCTTTGTTGATTTTGGAATTTGGAGACATTGCTTTCTTTCATGGTTATCTTTTTGAGGAGACTAAAATGATGAATAAATGCTGGTTCTCTCCATAACTATTGGTAACGCATTAGTTTTCGATAATGATTTTGGTGTTTTATTTTCCTCCTGCAGGGTGCCTTTGTTCTTTGTTGTCTATTTAAGAAGCATGATGAAAAGCAAGATGAGAATGTTAAAGACGAAGTTGAACAAAATATTCCTTCTCCTTCAGTAGTTAAATTTCCCTCTGATGGTACTCACTCAGAGCCAGTTACCCCAGTGATGGGTAGACAAGCTGGATTGTATTCTCCAAGTATTGAAGGTGGGCATGTTGAAACTGAGAGTCCAACACTTTATGCTCCTTTACCTATTGACCAGGACAGCAGTAGCCTTGTTGTTGATGATACAAAAGATAAATTGTTAGACATACAATCCCTCCTGGTGTGGAGTTGAACTAACTTCTAGTTTATATTAGATTAAACCATGTTTCTGTGTTAATTGGGAGTCCAATAAAGTACTTATAATTCTTTCTTCTTTCATAATTTAGCCGGACCCCGAGCTGGAATAATTTTTTGGGAGATCTTTGCACTCGCACTCGTAGATGCAGGTGGACCTTGGATCTTCCTACTTATTTGGTCCTCTTAACGGCGACATCGGTAACAACCACACCTAGATGCAGTTTCAACCAGATACAAATGCATTAGATATCAATGAGTTCCTGGACATGGTCCCAGTTGGCTCAGATGAGCATTCTTGTGAAGATTCTGGCAGTAATAAGATTTCAGCTGTTGAAAGTGAAACTAAGTGCATTTATACTATAGAGGGTGTTGCCATTAAGGACAGCGGATCATGTAGCGACTCTGATGCAGAAGTGGTCCAAGGACAGGTAATGGAAGTTTCTGAGCATCTTGTAGTTTTCTTTTGCAAGGTTACTGCTACACTTGATGTGTTTCAATGTGCAGTTCAAATTTCTATTGTTTTCAACATATTTTTAGAAATGCTGTTCTAAGAGAATTAACACTATGTTGCTTTTGTGTTCTTCAGCTTGAGCCAGGCTTTTGTGTTGGTGAGTTGCTTGAGGAGAATGTTGATTGTGGGGTTCTTTTACAGATGGACACAACTCCTGATATATGCAGCAATAAATAATCACAGGGGAAACTTTGGTTTTCTGCAAAACAATTACAATTCTGTGCATGATGATTTCTCTGTAGTTTCTGCTGGCGATCATATCTACAGTTTGTTCAACATTGAAGAACCAAGCAATCAGAGCAATGTAGTCGGCAGTGACGATACTTTTGGAACGGGCATTAAAAGGAGGACTCGGCAGCCCCAAAATCAATTACATGCCCAAAACTTTGAAACTCAGGGAACTGCTATGAGACGAATTTGTTGGTAGGTGGAACCTCAAGTTGGACCCGTTCAATGTAGTCTGCCTAGAGCTATGTGCTCTAGTGAAGAAAATCATGAAATAAAACCACCAGGGGCTGAGGCGAGAATTTTTCTTGGTGAAGCTTGCTGACTTTCATACTGCTTCTTTGGTTCTGATATCCATTAAATTGGCATGTGCAGGATGAAAAAGTTACCAAGAAGTGTACTACAACAGATGAGACGCAAGATATATTCACTCCTGAATCAAAGCAAAGATGGTGCAGAACTTCCTCAGGATTTGAGTACGACTGTGGATTCAAAAGAAGATTTTCCTATAGGTTGCCATAAAAAGGTCCTCTCGGTGTCCTCAAAGGTTGCGACATTGCGTTCAATTTTACCATCCGTGCATATGCCTTGGGTACTTCTAGTTGTAGGTGTGTTAATGTCTCATTTTCACCCTCCTCCTCCGCCTTCTTATTCGTTCTTCTGCTTCTTTGTCCTCCCCTTTCACTTCCTCGTTTTCTTTCTTCCTTTTGCTTTTCGTCCTCCTTTTCCCCTTCCTCCAACGTCGTCTTCTTCTACGTAAATTTTGAGCAGCATCTAGGCATAGAGGAGACATCTTCTTCTTCTCCTTCTCCTCTTCCTCTTCGTTCTCCACATTTTCCTCCTTATTCTTTTCCTCCTCCTTCCTTCCTTCTCCTTGTCTTTCCCCTCCTGTTCCTTATCCTCTCTCCTCCTTTTTCTTCTTCTTCTTCCTCCTCCCAACTCTATCAATTTACTCCTTCCTCCCAATTTTCCTCCTTTCTCTTTCCCCTCTCCAGTTCCTCCTTCCTCTTCCCCTCTTTCTCCTCCCTCATTCCTCCCTCATTCCTCCTCCTCCGTTTACTACTCCTCTACCTCCAACTTCTCTTCCCTTCAACTACTCCTTCTTCATCCTCCTTCAACTCCTCCCTTCTTTTACGTCAATTTCGAGCAGCAAATTTAATTGGCTTTCTTTTACATGTAAAATGTATTTTACACAACTATTTCTACATCCTCTTGTGTTTCTTACTTGTTATGATCATTGTTTCTATTATTTTCAATTCCGAACACTCTCATTAACCCACTATTTGCTTTTCATTTTTCGTTATTGTTTTCATATTTTGCACAACCTATAATTGCATAACATTTCTTTGATTATTTGTTCTTTGTTTGCTTTTCTATTAGATAAATTATGTTTTATTTCTTTTTTTTGAGTTGTTGGTTTATAGTTAGGGGTTGGGAATTAGGGCTTAGGGAGTAGGATTTGAGATTAGGAATTAGGAAATAGGACTTTAGAGATTAGGGATTACGGATTACGGATTACGGGTTAGGGGTTAGGGATTTAGATTTATTGTTCTTTTGCTTCTTTTGCTCCACCTCATCATTCTTATCCTATTTTTTTTTTTATTGTTTTTGTTATGTTTTGGATTTTTATTTTATGTGCGTAACTAATCTAATGTGTATTTTGATTTCAATTGTTAGTGAAATGGATGAGATAAGCTTGGAAGCGGAGTTTAGGAGCGAAAAGATAAGTATATCTATTTGTGCAAATTTGATTGACTTTCTTTTACATGTGAAATGCTTTTTACAAATGTCTATTTCTACATCTTTTTGTGTTACTTACTTGTTATGATCATTGTTTCTATTATTTTCAATTCCCAACACTCTCATTATCTCACTATAATTGCATAGAATTTCTTTGATTATATGTGCTTTGTTTGTTTTTCTATTAGATTAATTATGTTTTATTTCGACTTTTTAGCTTGTCAATTTATAGTTAGGGGTTGAGAATTAGGGCTTAGGGAGTAGGGATTTGAGATTAGGGATTAAAGATTAGGGCTTTAGAAATTAGGGATTAGGAATTAGGGGTTTGGGGTTAGGGATTAGAGATTTGGGTTTATTGTTCTTTAGCTTCTTTTGCTCCACCTCCTCATCATTCTTATCCTATTTTTTACTTTTATTGTCTTTGTTATGTTTTAGATTTTTATTTTTATGTTCGTAACTAATCTAATGTGTTCTTTGATTTCAGTTGTTAGTGGAATAGACGAGATAAGTTTGAAAGCGGAGTTTAGGAGCAAAAAGATAAGTATATCTATTTGTGCAAATTTAATTGGTTTTCTTTTACATGTGAAATGTGTTTTACACATGACTATTTCCATATCTTCTTGTGTTTCTTACTTATTATAATTATTGTTTTTTTTATTTTTAATTCCGGACACTCTCATTAACCCACTGTTTGCTTTTCATTTTTCGTTATTGTTTTCATGTTTTGCGCAACCTATAATTGCATGACATTTCTTTGATTATCTGTGCTTTGTTTGATTTTCTATTAGATAAATTATGTTTTATTTCCTTTTTTTGGGTTACTGCTACTGCTAATGCTGTTGCCTGCAGTCCTGTTTTACTGCAGTTTTTTACTGTTCATGTGCTCTATTCAGCTATTTTGTGTTGGTTGCTGCTCAGCTGGTCTTTCATCAGGAGGCACTGTTCACGTGAACAGCTGGGCTGCTGCTGCGGATGGGCTCTTCCAGCTGATCCTTGCTGGTTTTTGGCTGAATCTCAGATGGTCTTTGGCTGGGATTTTAGCTGGTTTTCTGATGGTCTCTCAGCTGCCATATCAGCTGGAATTTATTATTCTTTTTGTGCCTGCTGCTGAATCATGTTCTGATGACATTTTCGGGCATTCTTTTTTGCTTGCTGCTACTTGTTTCCTGCTTTCCTACACTGTTCACGTGTGCTGTTCATGTGACTGTACACGTGAACAGTCCAGCTGCTGCCATGCTGATTTTATGTGTTTTCCAGCTGATTTTTCTGCTCTTTCAGCTAGATTATCAGCTGGTCTTTTTGTCCCTTTGCGCCTTTCAGCTGGCCATTATGCTCTTTTGGGTAGGCATTGATGGAGGCCTCTTCGTTTCTTTTCAGCTGGATTTCCAGCTGGATTTTAATGGTTTTTCAGCTGGATTTTCAGCCTGTTCCATCTCCTTCTGCTCCATTCAGCTGCTGCTGTTTATGGTTTCTGCTTGGTGCTTTTGGCTGCAACGGTTGCATCATTCAGTTGGTCCTCTTGCACCTTTCTTTTTTGGTTAAAGCTTTTGCTTCTTGTAATCGTGGCTTTTATTAATAATATTTCTCTTTAAAAAAAAAAAAAAAGGGAGTAAGATTTGGGATTAGGGATTAGGGATTAGGACTTTAGAGATTAGGAATTACGGATTAGGGGTTAGGGGTTTGAGTTTATTGTTCTTTTGCTCCACCTCCTCATCATTCTTATTTTTTTTTTCTTTTATAATTTTTGTTATGTTTTGGATTTTCATTTTTATGTGCATAACTAATCTAATGTATATTTTGATTTTGATAGTAGAACAAACGAGATAATCTTGAAAGCGGAGTTTAGGAGCGAAAAGATAAGTATATCTATTTGTGCAAATTTGATTGACTTTCTTTTACATGTGAAATGTATTTTACACATAACTATTTCTACATCTTGTGCTTTTTACTTGTTATTATCATTGTTTATATTATTTTCAATTCCCAACACTCATTATCTCACTGTTTGCTTTTCATTTTTCATTATTGTTTTCATGTTTTACACAACCTATAATTGCATAGTATTTATTTGATTATATGTGCTTTGTTTGCTTATCTATTAGATTAATTATGTTTTATTTCCTTTTTTTGGGTTGTTGGTTTATAGTTAGGGTTGGGGATTAGGGCTTAGGATAGGGATTTGGGATTAGGGGTTAGGGATTTGGATTTATTGTTCTTTTGCTCCACCTTCTCATCATTCTTATCCTATTTTTTTCTTTTTTCCTTTTTGTTATGTTTTGGATTTTTATTTTTATGTGCATAACTAATCCAATGTGTATTTTGATAACAGTTGATAGTGGAATGGACGAGATAAGCTTTAAAACGGAGTTTAGGAGCGAAAAGATAAGTATATCTATTTGTTCAAATTTGATTAGCTTTCTTTTACATGTGAAATGTGTTTTACACATGACTATTTCTATATCTTCTTGTGTTTCTTACTTGTTATGATCATTGTTTCTATTATTTTTAATTCCGGACACTCTCATAAACCCACTGTTTGTTTTTTATTTTTCGTTATTGTTTTCATGTTTTGCACAACCTATAATTGCATAACATTTCTTTGATTATTTGTGCTTTGTTTGCTTTTCTATTAGATAAATTATGATGTTTTATTTCTATTTTTTGGGCTTTTGGTTTACAGTTAGGGGTTGGGGATTAGGGCTTAGAGAGTAAGATTTAGGATTAGGGATTAGGAATTAAGACTTTAGAGGTTAGTGATTACGGATTACTGATTACAGATTAGGGGCTAGGGGTTAGGGATTTGGATTTATTGTTCTTTTTCTTCTTTTGCCTCACCTCCTCATCATTTTTATCCTATTTTTTTTTTATTATTTTTGTTATGTTTTGGATTTTCATTTTTACGTGCGTAACTAATCTAATGTGTATTTTGATTTCAGTTGTTTGTGGAATGAACGAGATAAGTTTAAAAGCGGACATTAGGAGCGAAAGGATAAGTATATCTATTTGTGCAAATTTCATTGACTTTCTTTTACATGTGAAATGTGTTTTATAAATGACTATTTCTACATCTTCTTGTGTTTTTTTCTTGTTATGATCATTGTTTCTGTTATTTTTAATTCCTAACACTATCATTATCTCACTATAATTGCATAGCATTTCTTTGATTATATGTGTTTTGTTTGTTTTTCTATTAGATTAATTATTTATTATTTTTTTTTTTTGGCTTGTCGGTTTATAGTTAGGGGTTGAAAATTAGGGCTTAGGAAGTAGGGATTTGAGATTAAGGATTAGACATTAGGGTTTTAAAAATTAGGAATTACGGATTTTGGATTAGGGGTTAGGAATTTGGGTTTATTGTTCTTTTGCTCTAACTCCTCATCATTCTTATTTTATTTTTTATTTTTATTATTTTTGTTATGTTTTGAATTTTTTTTTTATGTGCGTAACTAATCTAATGTGTATTTTGATTTCAGTTATTAGTGAAATAGACTAAATAAACTTGAAAGCGGAGTTTAAGAGCGAGAAGAGAAGTATATATATTTGTGTAAATTTAATTGGCTTTCTTTTACATGTGTAATGTATTTTTTACATAACTATTTCTACATCCTCTTGTGTTTTTTACTTGTTATGATCATTATTTCTATTATTTTCAATTCCGGACACTCTCATTAACCCACTATTTACTTTTCATTTTTCGTTATTGTTTTCATCTTTTGCACAACCTATAATTGTATAACATTTCTTTGATTATTTGTTCTTTGTTTGCTTTTCGATTAGATAAATTATGTTTTTTTTTTTTTTTTGGGTTTGTTGGTTTATAGTTAAGGGTTGAGGATTAGGGCTTAGGGAGTTGGATTTGGGATTAGGGATTCGGGATTCGGGATTAGGACTTTAGAGATTACAGATTAGGGGTTAGGCGTTAGCGATTTGGATTTATTGTTCTTTTGCTCCACCTCCTCATCTTTCTTATCCTTTTTATTTTATTTTATTGTTTTTGTTATGTTTTATATTTTCATTTTTATGTGCGTAACTAATCTAATATGTATTTTAATTTCAGTTGTTAATGGAGTTTAGGAGAGAAAAGATAAGTATATCAATTTGTGAAAATTTAATTGTTTTTCTATTGCATGTGAAATGTGTTTTGCAAATGACTATTTCTACATCTTCTTGTGTTTCTTACTTGTTATGATCGTTGTTTCTATTATTTTCAATTCTCAACACTCGCATTATCTCACTATAATTGCATAGCATTTCTTTGATTATATGTGTGCTTTATTTGCTTTTTTATTAGATTAATTATGTTTTTTTTTGATTTTTTGGCTTGTCGATTTATAATTAGGGGTTTGAAATTTGGGTTTAGGGAGTAGGGATTTGAAATTAGGGATTAAGGATTAGGGCTTTAGAAATTAGGGATTAGGGAGTAGGGATTTGGGGTTAGGGATTGGAAATTTTGGGTTAGGGATTTGAGTTTATTGTTCTTTAGCTTCTTTTGCTCCACCTCATTATTCTTATCCTATTTTTTACTTTTACTGTCTTTGTTGTATTTTAAATTTTTATTTTTATGTCCGTAACTAATCTAATGTGTACTTTGATTTCAGTTGTTAGCGGAATACACGAGATAAGCTTGAAAGCGGAGTTTATGAGCAAAAAGATAAGTATATCTATTTGTGCAAATTTGATTGACTTTTTTTTACATGTGAAATGTATTTTACACATAACTATTTCTATATCCTCTTGTGTTTCTTACTTGTTATGATCATTGTTTCTATTATTTTCAATTCTGGATACTTTCATAAACCCACTATTTGTTTTTCATTTTTCGTTATTGTTTTCATGTTTTACACAACCTATAATTGCCTGACTTTTTTCTTCGATTATCTGTGTTTTGTTTGCTTTTCTATTAGATTAATTATGTTTTATTTCTTTTTCTTGGCTTGTCGGTTTATAGTTAGAGGTTGAGAATTAAGGCTTATGGAGTAGGGACTTGAGATTAGGGATTAGAGATTATGGATTACGGATTACGGATTAGGGGTTAAGGATTTGAGTTTATTGTTTTTTGTTTCTTTTGCTCCACTTCCTCATCATTCTTATCCTATTTTGTCTTTTATAGTTTTTGTTATGTTTTAGATTTTCATTTTTTTGTGCGTAACTAATCTAATGTGTATTTTGATTTCAGTTGGTAGTGGAATGGACGAAAAAAGCTTGAAAACGGAGTTTAGGAGCGAAAAAATAAGTATATCTATTTGTGTAAATTTGATTGACTTTCTTTTGCATGTGAAATGTGTTTTACAAATGACTATTTTTACATCTTCTTATGTTTCTTATTTGTTATGATCATTGTTTCTATTATTTTTAATTCTCAGCACTCTGATTATCTCACTATAATTGCATAGCATTTCTTTGATTATATGTGCTTTGTTTGCTTTTCTATTAGATTAATTATATTTTATTTCAATTTTTTGGCTTGTCGATTTACTGTTATGGGTTGGGAATTTGGGCTTAAGGAGTAGGAATTTGAGATTATGGGTTAAGGATTAGGGCTTTAGAAATTAGGGATTAGGGATTAGACATTAGAGATTTGGGGTTAGAGATTAGTGATTTAGATATATTGTTCTTTAGCTTCTTTTGCTCTACCTCCTCATCATTCTTATCCAATTTTTTACTTTTATTGTCTTTGTTATGTTTTGAATTTTTATTTTTGTGTGCGTAACTAATCTAATGTGTACTTTGATTTTAGTTGTTAGCGGAATGGACGAGATAAGCTTGAAAGCGGAGTTTAGGAGCAAAAAGATAAGTATATCTGTTTGTGCAAATTTGATTAGCTTTCTTTAAATGTGAAATGTATTTTACACTAGTATTTTTACATCCTCTTGTGTTTTTTACTTCTTGTGATCATTGTTTCTATTATTTTTAATTCCGGACACTTTTATTAACCCACTTTTTACTTTTCATTTTTCCTCATTGTTTTCATGTTTTACACAACCTATAATTGCATAACATTTTTTGATTATTTGTGCTTTGTTTGCTATTTTATTAGATAAATTATGTTTTATTTCTATTTTTTGGGTTTTTGGTTTATTGTTAGGGGTTGGAGATTAGGGCTTAGGGGGTAGGATTTAGGGTTTAGATTAAGTATTTGGGATTACGGATTAGAGATTAAGGATTAGGATTTTAGAGATTAAGAATTTGGGATTACGGATTACGGATTACGGATTAGGAGCTAGGGGTTAGAGATTTGGATTTATTGTTCCTTTTCTTCTTTTGCTCCACCTCCTCATCTTTCTTATCCTATTTTTTGTAACTAATCTAATGTGTATTTTAATTTCAGTTGTTAGTGGAATAGACGAGATAA